GCTGCGGGGCTCAGCTTTGCTATTGTCCTCGCTTTCTAGTAAGCCTTGTGTTGCTGAAGTCCAGCTGTGTGAGTATTAACACACTAACGGTATTGCGAGCTTCTCCGAGCACGTGCAGGCACTGTTGCGAGAAGCTTAATATGTGTGAGCAGTTTGAGAGAAGTCTTTTCAGGGTGTTTTCTTGGGTGAGTCAGGTGGGGGAGATGGCATGGGGCTAAGAAGGAAACTGATTAATTCATATCAAACTGCCATCCCTTCATCACCTGAGTTTGATTTGCAGGCACTGAGCACACTGCAGGTTGGGAACATACTTGGATCTTTATTGTAGCCTTGTGCTGTGCTCTTCAGAGCCGTGAGTGTGCTTCTCTTACTCACCATTTGGGTTCTTATAGATTGTTGTGTTTGATGCTGGAAAACAATTTGAAGACAAGACTCCAAACAGTGACCTAGGCCACACTAGCTGATTAGAAAATGAGAAACTTGCGTTATCGACAGGCTTGGAAGATTCTTGTGGTCCTGTAGTCACCCGCATTTCCCTGGTCTTCACCTTGCCACTCTGTTTTATTCTCGTTTTCTGTTGCAGTAGCTATAATGCCACAACGTTTTGTTTTTTTCCCCCTTTTCTTCCTTCCTGCTGGCACTCAAATGACCACTCCTATTAAGTGATGAAATTCCAGAATTTTTTTCTGTATATTAAACCTGATACAGTTTCACTCAGTTTATCATCGTTAGGGTGCAAAGTAGTCACCTAGAGGTGCCACTCAGTATGTAGCCCTGTGTTTAGAAATTCAGGGAGCCGTGAAGTATTTCGCCTCTGCTCTCTGAGACTTCAGCCAGGTGCAAAGAGCAGATACAGAGCTGAATGTGAGGTTGGGTGACTTACATCCAGCAGTACCAGAACGTGCCTGGAATCATGGGGGTGAGAAATTAACTCTGATTGAGGCAGGTATCTCTGATGCTTTCCGGAAGGAGGATGGGGTCTGTGCCAGGCCTTGGATGTGGGAGGAGGAGGAGCTGACAGGAAGCAGCAGTGGCCTCAGCCACAGCACTGTTGTGAGGAACATGGGCTGTGTTTGGGGGACAGCCAGGGGTTTGGTGTGGCGGGTTTACAGCACCTGTAGGAGGCTGCACTGGTAAATAAGCCCAGAAAAGCAGCTGGGGCCAAATTACGCAGGACGTTGAAGGTCAGTCTGATGAGTCGAGTGGGATGAATAGAAACTATAAGCAGCATCAAGTCCACTGAGGACAGGTTTTGCTGCCAAAGGATTTTTCAGACTTTGCTGGATTGTGTCATTGTGGATAAAGAATTACTGACCCAAATGTATTTGATCTTTGATTGTTTTAGTATGCTAGATTCTTGGAGGTGAAATTGCCAAGTCAAGGTGATGAGTGTTGTTGAGACTTAATTGCAAAATTAACCGCTAAAAAGGCAGTGCCAGCTTAGAAGACCATGACTGATTGAGGGTTCTTGTTTTATCCTGACCTTGCAGAGCTGGGTGTTACAACATCGAAAACCCCTGCAGTGTCCTCTTTCTCGCACTCCCTCCCCCTTGCTCTCCCTCCCTCACCCCTGCTCTCCCTCCCTCCTTCTCTCCCTCCCTCCCTCTCTTCCTTGGTTCTTCTCTTTCTTCCTTTTACTTCTCCTATGATAGGCTCTCATTTTCTGAAGAGCCTGCTGCTCTCTTCCCATTTATTTATGATGCCACATTTATCACATTTTTTTTTTTTTTTTTTTGAGACAGAGTCTCACTTTGTCATTGAGGCTGGAGTGCAGTGGCGTGATCTCGGCTCAAGTGATTCTCCTTCTTCAGCTTCCTGGGTAGCTGGGATTACAGGCATATGCCACCACGCCTGGCTAGTTTTTATATTTTTAGTAGAGACTGGGTTTCACCACGTTGGCCAGGCTGGTCTTGAACTCCTGACCTCAGGTGATGCACCCACCTCGGCTTCCCAAAGTGTTGGGATTACAGGCGTGAGCCACTGTGCCCAGCCACATCCTAAGTTTTGATAACATACCAGGATCTTTCTTTCCTGTCCTCTCAAAGAGGTTAAATACTATTTTCATAATGAGTTATAATTGAGAAGTTTTCTCATGTCAAATATAAAAACAAAATCATACAGTTCATCGACTCACTTATGTCTTACCAGCTTTTTTATTACAAATTATTGTTCAGTCAACACTTGAAAGTGTGTCCCATTTTTTCCTAAGGTTTGCCAATAGATGATGATATTGATGATGAAATGTTTGATGATGACCATTTAAAGGTTTATTTTGAACAACTGGTAATTCCAGGAGTGATGGAATTAAACATATGAAGATCTAGAAGGACTGGAGCCTCCGGAAAAAGATCGGACATTACCTGCAAGTGCTCCTAGTCAGGAATGTTCCAGTCTTAGTGGCTTTTCCGAAATTTGACATTAGAAAATCACTATTGTTAAGGCAAGTAGCGGCGGCGCTTCAAGATGCACTGCCTGACCATGCCCACGCTGCTGCGGGCCCTGGCCCAGGCCACACATGCAGGACCTCCTGGTGGCCGGACCCTCCACAGCAGTGCAGTGGCAGCCACTTACAAGTATGTGAACCTGCAGGAGTTTAAGACGGACATGAAGTCAGTGACTGACCGGGCAGCCCGGACCCTGCTGTGGACTGAGCTCTTCCGAGGCCTGGGCATGACCCTGAGCTACCTGTTCCGGGAACCCGCCACCATCAACTACCCGTTGGAGAAGGGCCCGCTGAGCCCTCGCTTCCGTGGGGAGCACGCACTGCGCCGGTACCCATCCGGGAAGGAGCGCTGCATTGCGTGCAAGCTCTGCCAGGCCGTCTGCGCTGCCCAGGCCATCACCATCGAGGCTGAGCCAAGAGCTGATGGCAGCCGCCGGACCACCCGCTATGAAATCGACATGACCAAGTGTATCTACTGCGGCTTCTGCCAGGAGGCCTGCCCCGTGGATGCCATCGTCGAGGGCCCCAACTTTGAGTTCTCCACGGAGACGCATGAGGAGCTGCTGTACAACAAGGAGAAGCTGCTCAACAATGGGGACAAGTGGGAGGCCGAGATTGCCACCAACATCCAGGCTGACTACCTGTACCGGTGACGGCCCCACCGGCCCACAACCCCTGCTGCCCAATAAAATACTGCTCCAACCCCCCCCCCCCAAAAAAAAAAAAAGAAAAGAAAATCACTATTGTTCTCATTGGATGTTCACATGAAATTTAAGCCTCTGGTTTTCTTTGGACTCCATTTTTTTCCAGGTATGAATTGATGAGGAATGCCTGCCTTTTCTTCCTTCTTCCTACCTCTCTCTCGACCTACAGAAAATTCAAAGGCTAACACAATGGAGATTTACATAGTCTTCATGCAGATTCACCAGTTGCTAGTGTTTGCCACCTTTGCATTTTTTCCCTCTTCATACTTTCTTTCCTGAATCACTTGAAAGTAAACTGCAGAGAACATGACATCTTACCCCAACACTTCAGCATCTATCTCTTGTGAATCAGGACATCTTTCTCCATAATCACAGTTCTGTTATCTAACTTTGATACAATAATATAAATTACTGTACCATCCACATTGAAATTTATGTGATTATCTCCCAAATGTCCTCTATTTTTATTGTTTTCGATTCACAGTTTAATCAGAGATTAACCTCGCCTTTGGTTGTCATATTTCTGTATTCTCTTTTAATTTGGAGTCATTCTTTCACGACGTGAAACGTTTTGTAAAATCTAGGCTCTTTGTTTTTCAGAGTGACTCTCAATCTAGATACATCTGATTGCTCCCCTGCCTTGACTAGATTGGATTAAACCTTTTTGCAAGAATACAGATTAAACAGTTTCCTCATGAGTGGATTCAGATTAAACATGGGCAGCGTGGTGTACTTCTCATTGCCTCACACCAGGAGACGTTTGAGTTTGTCTGTCCCATGATTTGTGGTGCTGTATTAGGTAATTTTGGCTAAGGTGGAGTCGGCTACACATCTCTTTGTGAAGGTGGCCTTTCCCCTTTGTTATCAGTCAGTCATCTGGGATGAGACATCAAAGCCCTGTGAACATCCCGTTCCCTGACAACCCTTCAGAGCTGGGTTCAGCGCCACTGCTGAAGCCTCTGGGAAACATTGATTACACTCACGTGACGGTGGGAATTTCTCAGATTCCTTGTACGTTGACTGCCTGCATTATTCAGTGAAGCAGACATTGCCCGCTCCCTACAGTTTCCCTGCAAAATGTTCAATTTTAATTTAAAAGATTAATACAGCCAAGATGTTCTTTCAACAGGCGAATGAAAACCGCAGTTTAAACTCTAAGTTTCAATCAGAATCTAACAGCTCCTGGATTTCCCGTGGCTCACACTCTTCGGAAACAACTCACAAAGAGCCTGAGGAAGCAGCTCTCCCTCATCAGTGGGCCGGTTTATTTGTCTCCCTGGGACTAGTAAGTACTGAAACGGTTCTTTGTTCTTAAATTCTAAGTTTGACTTTATCTTTAAAAAATTATTTCTTTGGTATGATTTAGTATGTATTAACCCTGCCACTCCCTCAAGTCTAAAACTTTTCAAAAGAATTTTTAATAATACCTGAGTAAATTGGTGTTATTAGAAATACCATAGTCGGTATTTCTTGGGCTGAATGTTATGAATGATTGTGTTCTACCCAGACATCAAGAATTAGATGTGAATTCTCTCATATGGTAGCAGTTTATCATGTTTATTGTTGCCTCTTACTGTTGCATATTTTCTCTCTGGGCAAATTGTGCAGTTTGTCGTATGAATGCTAAGTATTAGGTTTACATAAAAGAATATTTTGATGAGAAGGATGCAGTTATTATATTAGATTGCTCAGATTGGACATTGCTCCATTAACTGTATTTTTCAGGTAATTCTGTAGTTACTGGAGGTAGTAGAAGGCACACAGATCA